AGAGACCTTCACTGGAGTCAAGGCACTTTGTTACCTCACTCTACTTGAGGTTTTCTGGGAAGATTCCCATTGATGTTGAAGCTCATGACATCAGAAAATTCTACATAAGATGCTGAGAAATACAGCCCTCTGCGTTGTTTCCCTGACATCTTACAGAATTACTTTTAAACATGCTTGTACATATATATTATTATATCTATATATTACTTTTGTTCCTCAGCACAAACTATAAAACCTATAAAAGAATTACATACAGTTCTGTGAATTATAGTTAATTTACAGTTGTGTTTGATTCCTTTTAAAAGTGAAGATTAAATCTTCAATCATAGAAAAGTTCCACATCTTAACCTTTTGTGTGAAAGGGATTCCATTAGAAAAACAAGATAATAGCATCTGACTCACATCTAAATGAGTCATTCAATTATGCCACAAACATCAAGGAAACTGAATGGGCTAGGACTTTAAGATAGTCTTGGCCATTGGATATGCTCTGAAAGCATCTAAAATCAGTCACTTAAGAACTGTAAACAGAGAATAGAGATTTATTACAGTATTCAGAACAACATGGCACCACTGCCTTTATGTACAGCTATGCTCCAATTTCTGAATTGGAAATGGCAGCATTCCTTTCAAATACAGGCAAAGAGGAGAGAGTAGAATAAACTTGCTCTTTATGCCCTGCATCATACAATATGCTTTATAGCAGTGCTCTTTGTTGTTTTATATTTTCACAGTAAACACACACACAAACAAAACAAAAAGGAGGAAACTGAAAAATATTGCAATTGAATTAAATATCTGCCCTCAAGAAAGCACAAATCTTTCACAACTAATGGCTCACATCTGTAGTCCACACAGAAGCACAGATCATATTAAAGCAAATAAGTGCAATGGCACTGTAAGAACCAAAGGACTGCAATGTAGAAAGAAAAAAAAAAATCCACACTTTCATGCCATTTTGAATTCACAGAGTGAAATCCTACCTAATTGTCCTGGTTTAGTGTGGATAGAGCTTTTTTTTTTTTTCCTTCTTAGTAATAGAATAGTGCCATGTTTTAGGTGCAGTATGGGATTTGGTGTGAGAAGAATGTTGATAACGCACTGATGTTTTTAGTTGTTGATCAAGGACTTTTCAACTTCCCATGTCCTGTTAGTGCACAGGTACACAAGAAGCTGGGGGAAAGCAGAGACAGAGCAATGGACCCAAACAGGCTAGTGGAATATTCCGTATCTTGTAACATCATGCTAAGTATATAGGTGAGTGTTGATCAGGAAGCTGACTGTCGCTTCCATAATTGTGTTTTCGGGATTCTCGCTTCTCTGAGATTGTTAACCAACAACAGGCGAGGCATCAGTCTGCAGGTGGTGGGCAATTATGTTGTGCATTAGTCATTTTTATTTTCTATTATTCCTATTATTTTTTTTATTATTGTATTTATTTTATTTTATTTCAATTATTAAATTGTTTTTATCTCAACCTATGAGTCTTCTTACCTTTATCCCTCCAATTCCTGAGGGTGGGGGAGGGTGAGCAAGCAGCTGCTTGGTGTTTGGCTGCCAGTCAGGTTTAAACCACAACACTACTAGGATTTGAAGCTCACAAAGAGCTATGAGAAAATACAAGATCTTGCAGCTGAGTACAAAACAGACCAAAAGTGTTGTGCCAATTTTGCAACAAACACCCATCCAGTTTAGAAGATTTCCATGCCTCCAGCTATTCAGAGTATGTGGGGATGGCACCTGGATAATCACCGAGCTCCTAACTTAGCAGGGAGGGAAGGGCAAAATCCCCATGATTGACTGACACTTAGCCATGCCAGGGAGACTAATTTGATCACCATCTATATGTTCTCTGTGAGGAACAGGAACAAAAGCAAAAATCTGATTCTAGCTGCAAGTGACACATAATTCTGGCATTTAGCAATTCAGTTTGGCAATCTTTGAATCTACAATTGTATTAAGAAAAAGCAACTGTATTAGTTATGGTAATCTCATTCTACTATTTTAAATGACGTGTTATTTGTGTGGGTGCTTGTAGTTCTCCATACTTGTATGCAAACAAACGGAAGAAAAGCCTGAATGCCTGCCAAACCGAAAAGGAAATAAACAGCAGGGAATTAAATAATTTTTTTAGAACTTTTAAGAAATAATTACAAGGAAGAAAGAATAAAACTCAAAAACACAAGAAAGCACTTAGCAGTAACTGAGGCTCCTTGGGACCTGGATCATGTTAAAGGATCTGTTCAGATGTATCCGACCTTTAATGTATTGTAAATTCATAGATTTTTAAAACTAGGAGGGATCATTAGTTATGATCATCCATTTTCATCTACCACAAGCTATAAAGAATTTCTCCCAAAGAGGCCTGAATAAAACCTGACACTTAATGAAGCAGGAGAATGTATTTTAGGACACAGGCAATTTTCATATAAAAACTTTGGTCCTACTTATGCTTGGGAAAACTGTACCAGCTGTGTATCCTCTTGTGCACATTTTAAGTATATTCATTACAGGACTAGCAGGAGTAACTCTCTCCCTTGCAGAGTACCTGAATAGGAAGAGGAAGCTTAGATGGGATTTCAGCAGTGGTCAGGGTCTCTTCACTGGCATAAGTTTTATCCTGTGTCAGTGCATATTAACATTAAAAGCAGACATGTACAGGGAAGTCAGCAAAGCCTTTCAGTTACCATTGCAGGGGTTTATTTACATACTAGGGCAAGAAAACAAAACAACAAATTGTTCAACGTGAAACAAGATAAATAATTAATGCTCAACCTCATAGAAAGAAAGAACCAGCAAATGGAGAAACCCTGTGTAACACGCAGCCCAGCTGAGACTGTAGCACAGTCTGGTGCTTCTACTGCTGGGCATCACAATTCTCTCACCCACAGCCTTTTTCCCCTGAATGTCTTTTCTAGGCTCCCTGGTCTAGGTTCTCACCAAATTTGAAACCATCTACCTTGTTCACCAGCCTCCTCTTTCATTAGCAGGAGAGCAGAGACACTACCTGCTGGTCTCACTTGTGTGTTGCACATGTGTAAAATAAATTACTTTATTGTAATAGCACAAATCATCAGTGAACTGACATCCAGAGATGTGGGAAATCATATTTAGCTTGGATAAACAACAAGTCTCAACATTTTGTGTCTTTATTTCAACACCAAAACCCTCCCTTCTTGGCAATAGGGCCTTCCTTAATCTCCTTTAATACAGAGAAAAACCATCATGGATTAATTAAATTTATGGTTCAGCTAGAGAAATTAAAAAGCCCAGTTGTAACATATAACAGTTGTGAGATAGCTGAGGGTAGACTGATGAAGTAGACAATGGACAAGAACTGAATTTTACTCACAAGCAGGGATACAATCAAAAAATTTAATGTCTGCTGAATCCTGCTTTCTTCCTGACTGTGCAGAGAAGCAGTAACCAGTATTACTCATGCAATAGGGTACAATAATCCCACTGAGGTGCTGCATAGCAATTGTTTCAGAAATTTGCATTTTCCCTCAAAGCCCCACACAGGAGTCTACCTCATGTTGACAGTAAGCACTCTGACTTTCTGTTCAAGAAAAGTATTTCACCTGGGAATACCAATCCCTACGTGAATGGGTTTTCTATACGTGTATTATAGGCCAAATTTCTGTCTCCTATCTGAAAACAGATGTTATCCTGCTGTGACTAGAGGCAAAAAATTAGAAAGAAAAAAGAAGGAAAAGTGACAAGAAGCCACAATAATTTTCCCCTAAATTGTGAAGGTTGTCTTTCACCTTTGCAAATCGGCTGCATTTTTGTTAGGCTACTGTTACTACTCTGTGTTCTTCATGTATCACACCAGGATTTTAAATACCCAGTACTATATTTTTGAAATGTTTTAAATTACATTAATATTTTCATTAAAACGTGTGTCTGACAATTGAGCTATCACTAAGCTAACCTTCTGAAGCTCAGCATGGAAAGACTTGCAATAGGAATTTTCTTTCTGAAGGTAAAAAAGAAAAATAGAAGAATTAATTATCAGAATCTAAACCCCAAATGATTTTATTCTCTTTTATCATGTATTTCATTATTGTTTTTTCCTTTCTGTCATGTTGTCTGAAAATTTTTTTCTGGTTATTCCTAGAAAAGACCCATCCTAATTTCTAGACACAAATGCACATCAAGACTATAACCAGTTCAGACTTAGTGAAACTTAGAATATAAAAATACAAACCCTCACCATATATTAAAGCTCTTTATATTAAACTAAAGCTAAGTTTAATAAAGAGAAATTGCAAGCAGGTAAAATATTGCTTCTCTTTGTTATTAAGGTGTGGTGAAAATTAATTCCTATGTAGAACGTGCTTTGAGATCTTTGCATGAAAGGCATTATTTTGCTTAAGAGCAAACTAGTATTATTAGGTATTATTAAAATAAATTGGAGGCAGAGAACATCATAAATGTTTCCCTGTAGATTAAATCTGAGAACTGGTCTCTGTTGCATTGTAGCTCAAGTTTAACCTTTAGAACACCGACATCGTATACATCTCATTTACACTGCAGAGATAAGACTCCCCTGGGCCTCCCAACCTCCCAGCCATAGCCTAAACAGCTAGTTGACAGCCAAAATACTGTAATTGCCAAGGAACTTTGTAAAGTAATTTGGATTACAAAAGGAAGCAAATAATATTTCAATGTAAAAATTTGTTTTGTTTTAAGGATATAAAATTGTAAATACACAACCATGTGGATCAGCTGCAAACCTCTTAGTTTTGAAGCCCATAATTTTGCATTATGACCCTCAAATCAGAGTCCATCCATAGAAAAATTACAAGACTTGGAAGGTTTTGGTAAAAACAAATGAATAGAAGGAGCAGAACTATCAGTTTTCTCTTGATTCTTGCTGTTGATTTTCATAATTTAAGATGTTAATTAAAGCTATTAAAATGCCAGCTCTGGAGACCAAGGTTCTCTGTATAATCAGAAAATAAGCATAACACAAAGCAGCATCAACACGTACTTACCAAATTGACAGTAGTGTCCACATGCAGAGGCTTGACAGGATTGTATTGTTCATTAATTTGCTGCTCCAGAAATGAGACTATATCTGGACATAAGGAAATTTATCAATTTAAGTCACATTCGGTACCTTGATGACCATCTGGTTTGTGAGCTTCTAAGACTTAGGCTTATAAATACTACACAATAGCCACAAAGCCTGATTAGAAAGGTATGAATTAAGAATAGGAGTAGACAAGAGAATGTACTTGAGAAGAGCCAGGACAAAAACGATAGACAATTCAGCTATTAACTGTGATGATTTTTGGTTTTGATTAAGATGTCAAAAAAGGAGAGACAGGTGTTTAGTTTATAAAATTGTTGCTATTGACATGTAAAACAATTAGATGTTTGAATATATGTAAAATGGCTAATAAAATAAAATTAATTTTTTATTGTTCTCATAAGGGTTATTTAGAAAGGTACCTTAGTATTGACAAAACTGTGTATCCTCTTGTGAACACCTGTGAACTGTTGAGTTTAATTGGGCAACAGCTGCTACTGATTGTGGGTTTTCTTGCTGTATCTCATTACTGCTTTCCCCTTTGCTCTTTCCTGATTGAGCATTGCTGGTGTTTGCTGCTTAAAGGACCCTAGAACAAACAATTAAAGATAGACAAAGAAAATGATTGAAATTTTGTACACACGTGTGTATTGTTGAGCTTACTCAGACTACAGCAGATGTTTGATGTACACGGATGGTGGTCTGGGGATATCACACACTGGCTGGCAGTCCTCACAATATCTTTCATTCTCCATCTAGGCATGAAGTTTTTCTGCAGAAGTTAGGAGAAACTGTGCTTTAAAGCTATTTATGGACTAAAAAGCTCAAAAAAAGCACCCGTAAAAAACTTTGTCATTTTGCCTTGGAATATATTCCTTGCTTTTTACTTCAATAAAATTATAAAGAAGTAATCATGTATGTCCTACTAAATTATCTTGTTAAGCAATCTTAGGACAAAGCTGCTGATCCTAAGAGCCAAACTACCATCTTTTGTGATGTTTAGGAGAATTAGGAATTCAGAGAAGACATTTTGAGTTCTGACCTTGTCAAAGCAGAGAAACTCAGAGTGCACAAAGTAGGAGAGTAAGTGGCAGATGAAAAATGAGGTTTTTCTGGAGAAGTGTAATGAAAGAAAGCAAAAGAAAAAGCCTTCTGTTTATCAGCCAGATGCCCATTGCAAAAGAACATAATTCTGAAAAAGTCTGAAGTTGAAAACAGAAGAAAAATACTAAAAATACATTTGGAAGAAAAGTTGCTTACTAATGATTTGAGTGAGACCAGAACTAGACTGAGACTACACTCCTGAAAATGGAAATTCCCACCTATTTTTGTGATACAGTTCTTATGCAGAGAGAAAATAGGATTAAACTCAGCCCTTCAGCTAATGCTCTTTAAAAAAAACAGTCATTGGATACAGTGTTCTGAAATAGCTATTAAGTAAACAGTCACTTTAGTTTGAGCATATAGTAAGTTTAAGTATAAGCCAATGAAACTGACTTTAATGCTGCAGGTAATCAACTGATACTTACAATCTAGGTAACTTTCAATTTGTGTAACACTACAACATATTATGAATATAGTATTATATACATTGATATTATCACCATAAAATTTACATTAATTTACCATATTATAACCACATGAAACCATTAAATATTCTGTCTTTCTAATACTGTTTTGATTTCCAATACTGTTATCATTAAGTTTATTTTTCATTTTCATCTCTTTGAGAACAGGAAAAAGAAAACAGACAACAAAGAAGATAGTAGTGCTGTGTGCAGCAAGTGAAAAAAGGTTTTAATAACATAAATACCACTTGGGTGATAAGTATACTTTACTTACATATATATACAATTTTTGCATGTTGAGCTGATGTAATATCTCTTTAAGTGGTATAGGACAGATGTATATTTGGATCTATTTTATCTTTGTGTAAGGATAGAAGTATGAAATATATAAATATGCTCAGAAATACTTATACCTATGAGAGTACAGGACAATTATGAATATTTATAATCCTGAATTGTGAAGAGTTGGAGTTGTATTAATTTGCATTACCATTAATAGCTTTAGATTTACCTATTAGCGTTCCTATAAATCTCATTAATAGAAGTCCCCTTAGCAATGTACTTTCACCAATTCCACAGCTTTGGCAATAGAAAGCATTAAGGTGTTCTGAGACAATTTTCAGCTAGAGTAGTGTCCCTGCAACTAGCAAGACATTTTTATTGCAACTTTGTGTTTTATGTCTTTATCTTTATTCATGAAGTATTAGTATTGTTAATACCCTCATAAGATAATTTCTATATACACAGAATACCTAATAATTGAGAAAGAATTTATTTACTCATCCTTCTTAAGGTAAGAAACATTTGTCATGACTTGACAGAGACACAGATGTTTACTTAAAGATCACAGTCTTTGTGTTGAATCATAAACATTAATATCAAGTTTACTGTAAGTATCATGTTTCTGGTAACTCTAAATTTTTTAGATAGTTTAGACTATAATATTTTGCTACTAAAATTTAGTTTGGCTACTGGGCTACTGGAGCTTCCACCTCAGCACGAGATGGCAGCTAGGTTCTGTGTTTGGAAAAAGGAGTTCACTGATCACCTCCCTGCTTGTCAGGTAGCTGTTCCCAGAAGAATCTGTACATATGTCTGTACCATCTCTGTCAGACCCATGCATTTTCCTGAGTCAGATACAATAATAGACCCATGACAACAGCCCTCTGTGCTGCTAAATGGCTTCCTCATAAGAGGAAATATAACAGGTCAGTTCGCAAGGAGTTAAAGGGTTCTGGTTAAGATGAAAACAGATGCAACCTTCATCAAAACTAGGAAATTATGTCTTTTTAAACACCAGGTAAACAGTTCTGAGATTGCAGCATTTTAAAGAATATAGATAAACTTCCTGAAATTCACCACAGTAAAATTAACATATCTTTCCTAAGTTTGGTTGCAAATAAGAGATATGCCCCTAGACAGTTTATAGCAATATCAAATAAATCAAGTTATGGCAAGGTACCTCAGTTTCATCATACATTTACCTGAATTTAACAGTTGCAATTTATATCAGAACCAATGACATATTTCCAGAGGTTATGGATTTTTCCTCAAAGGTTTGATTCTTGGCAGAAACAGCTAGCCATTTAGAGGAATAATGTTACAAATGCAGAAATTCTAGTTAGTTATGTTCAAATAAACAAAGTAGGATAATGACAGCAAAAGCTGCCAAAAACTTCACAAATATCTTGCCCTTCCAAGACCGATCACACCATTTTTAGCTACCCAGATAGTCCTTGAAAGGTCTTCTTTAGGCCCTTTTGAGCCATTAGAATAGTCATTGACCAATTTTAATGTGAGAATCATATAACACACATACACACACAGAATCACAGAATCACAGAACCACAGAGTGATTGAGGCAGAGTTGTTTGCCTAGGTCCATGTCCAGACAGGTATTGAATATCTTTAAGGAAATAGACTTAATAATATCTCTGGGCAACCCTTGCCAATGTTCAGTCATCCTCACACTGAAAAAACGTTTCCTGATGTTCAGGAAGAACCTATTCCATTTCAGTGTGTGTCCATTGCCTCTGCTCCTGTCACTGGGCACCACCAAAAAGAGACCAGCTCTGTTTTCTCTGCACCCTCCCTTCAGGATTTTATATACATTGATGACATCTTGAGCATTCTGTTCTCCAGGATGAATAGCCCAACTCTCTCAGACTTTCCTCCTAGGAAAGGTGCTCCAGTCCCTTAATCACCTTTGTGGTCCTTCATTGGACTCTCTTAAGTATGTCCATGTCTTTCTTGAACTAGAAACACATTTCAGTCACAGAAACACAGTGTAGCCTTACCGGGGCTGAACAGAGAGGAAGGATCACCTTCCTTGACTCGCTGGAAATAGTCCTAATAAAGCCCAGGATACCTTCAGCCTTCTTTGCCGTAAGTGAACACTGTTGGCTCATGTTCAGCTTGGTGGCCACCAGAACTCCCAAGCCCTTTTCTACAAAGATGTTTTCCAGCAGGGGTAACTCACTATGTTAATGATAATAAAAAGACAAAAAAGGAAATTACTGTAGAAAAGAAGCAAAGCAGGAAATAATTGTTACCTATGACCATTATTCTGTATTCACATATATCCAACATGGTCTAAGAGCCATATTCAAATTTATGAAATCCAGGGAGCCTACATTTGTGTCTGAAATGACAACTGACCCAACAAGTTTTAAGTACATATTCATTCCAGAAAGAGTCTACGTCCAGACAGAATCAAAGCTAGTCCCCATGATGGGACAGTTCAATTTAAAAATTGTGCCATCATTTTATAGCTATCTTCTTGCCTTGGGAATCTTCATCTCTGAGATAAGCAGAGGCTCTTTGAGTCTAATCCAGGTGAGCAGGGTTCACAAAGGTCTGAAAGCTGCATCATCTCTTCCTGACAGGAAGAAATGCCATGATGAGAGGTGATCACTGAGCAAGCAAAGATAAGGACTTGAATGTTTCTCATGCCCACACACCAACAAATAGAAAGTTACATGCAAAGGAGTTCTGGAACCTGTTGGGCTGGATGGGAGGATGCCCATATTTTGAAGATGTCAGCAGACATCTGCAGAAGCAGGGCACAGGGCCTACCAGAAACACCTGCTGAGGGCATGATTCTGTACAAATGACATGGTATCATGTCCAAACCCATCAATAGTGCTTCTCAGAAGGTTTAAATTCAGTTAGTGCAATGTTGCACCAGTGGGGGTCTACACTGTTTCTGGATGCTATCCAAGATTAATTATGTTATCTCAGGTGTGACTGGACCAGGTTCCACTGTGAAATACAGGTATGTCCCAAGCCTTTATGGATGTTTTGTAACTAAGTCCAGTGGATATTGAGTCAGGTATGATCTTAGCTCAATGAACTTCTCGGAGAGATGAAAGCTGAAAGATATCTCCAAATCAGCACCCAAAGCCAATGTTTTTGGAATAATTAAAAAAGAACTACAGTGAGACAGGATGATAAGGCCAACAGTGCTCAGGAATTCATCTCATAGCTTATCATGCCTATGTTACTGTTATATTGCAGCAGAAATACAGAAATGTGTCAGTAATGTGAAAAATTTTGAAGTATCCAACAACAAGAAGTGCCTTCCTTCTCCACTGATAAAGCAATAAATTGTAATTTCTCAGGTAGCTAATCTGTTATTATGAATCACTCTTTTGATTACCTGGGTGATTAAGGTGTTTAACATTGGAACTGAAAGCTGGATAAAAATAACTGTGGATCTGTAAACAATTTCCTGTTTAGATTCTTATAAAATTGTCCATGCCAACTGTTAAGACAACTCACAACAAATTAACAATAAATTTACAGTAAACCACAACAAATACATAATTCTCCTCCTACTTCCCAGAGGAAGCTGGGGACACAACCAGGTGGTTTTCTCTTCCCTCCCTTGCTATTCATTCTTTTTTCTCTCTCCTTTGCCTTTGTATCTTCTTCCTGGGTATTTTTAGCAGCAGCTTTGGAAAGGTGAAGTTGAAAAAGTGAGCCTTACACTGTTCTGAAGTCAGTGAGATTTCTGGTCTTTCTTATTTCCTCCAATAATGAAATCAAAACTGCTTGTCTTAGTGCCAAATAAGCTCCATCTCCAGATTCACCCTTGAGGCTGAAAAGCTCATTGTTTCTGAAGGAACATGGCTGTCAAAGGATGTCATCAATACAAAGACAGAGGCCTTTTCAGGGAAATCTTGAATCATGTTCATCAGTGGTCTTGAAGATTATTAATGAGACCTTGAGTTTGATCCAACATATTTATGATTTCATAATAAATTAATTAAATACATTCATTCACAAATTTTATAGTTTCTTTAAGTTAAAATCTGAAAATGGGGTTATAGAATTGAGGAAGAAGAAACCTACTGACTGCCAGTGAGTATGCTTAACTCATTGGAGCACTATTATTCAGCTTCTACCTTCTCTTCAGTCCAGGTGCACCTTGTTCAGCAGCTTTTAGATAGTTGATGATTTCTCCATGGACAAACAGGAAAAAGCTAGATATGAATCTTTTTTTTTTTTTTTTTTCCATTTCACAGCTGAGGGAACTGACAGACAAGTCTTGCCATAGGAACTGAATTTATATATCACCCTTCAGTTGTTTGTCCTGCTCCTCTTCTGGAGTTACCAGAAGCAGACATGAGCCAGACTCTCAGCAGCTGTGGCTTACAACTCAGTGTATCAACTTAAACTGAAGTTGAAGGTAGTTAAGACTAACACATCAGACTCCAAGAACTGCCAGCTGAAGAGTGTGGCACAGATTCACTCCTGCTACCTCTTCCACAGGGTCAGTAATAGTAGCAGAGGGAAGCAGCAGTCGTGCACGCACCACCCACCAGAGTTTATCTGTCACTCCTGGGTCAGACATGGTGAGGCAAGACAAAGATACTGTGTAAAAAAACAAGACTCTTCATATACATGTTGAAATGTCAACTTTTAGCTTAGAGATGGCTGATCATTTCTACACAGATTGTCTTCTTCCCCTTAAAGACAGGACTTTTTGTGGCCCAACTACTTACAGCTCTCTAGACTCCATCAGCTGTAATAATTTTTATTACTTAAAATATTGCCAGCATCCATCTTAAATATTGATATCTTGAATATTAGAGGCATTTTTATCTCACTTGATCATACAAAGCCCAGATTCTGAGCTCTCATCTGCTTCTACCAATCAGGCTCCTGATCTGACACTTACCCTTGTGCATTTTGGTGGACATCTTTAATTTCAACTTCCTGTTTCATTTTGTCTGCTCTAATAAATGTGCATGACATACAGATTGTGTCTTATAATACTGATTAATGGTCTTAGCTCTATTTATGGTAAATCTCACAAAACTTGTCACTAAAGTGAGTTTCTGTTCAACCTTTACCACAATTTTCATCATCCTTCTCAGAAACATAGAAATTAAAAACTGTTGTTCTATCTCTTCCTTGTAAAATTAAAGAAGCAATTCCACTTGGGGAAATGTATTTCCAATTTATGCTTTCCTTATTTATTTTATCACTTTATTACAAGTGTTTATTTCTTCCTGCTGTTTGGGCCCACAAAAGAGCTGCTCAGCTGAGTTTCCACATGCTTTTCTTATACTTGAACTCCTAACACATCATTTCAAAATAATGGATCAACTTATTTAAAAATTCCTTCCATGTTTTCATTTGAAAACCTGTTCTTTCCAACCCACAGTGGAAAGCCTCCATTGCTTTAACTGACAGCTGCATATAGCCCAGCAGTGAGACAAATATTTATAATTCCCTGAACAGGGGGGACAGTAATGAGAAGGATCATTGAACTTCCTTACAAGCAGCAGAAAGCTCTTCAGAACAATGCTGAAGCAGGAAACCTGTCAGATACAGTGGGTTTTGCTGACTCACTTGCTAGTACCAGTTTCTTCATGATTTCTTTAATTTGACATTTTCCTGTTCCTTTCTGTGGTGCTGTTGGCATTGCTGTTTCTTGCCCATTTGTCAGCTTTGATGCTTTTAAGACATGCAAAGCCAGTACATTAGCAATGCCAAAAAAAAAAAAAATAATAAATTCCATCTGATTATAATTCAGCAAGAGCTTGTACCAGCTTGATTGTTCTTTACCTTAAGGCTACCTGACAATACCGTAAGACCAGATTCAGAAGTAATATGTAGAGGAGCTTTAGTTCAAAGGCTTTGAGGCTGGGCTGGTTAACTGCCCTGGAATGTCAAGGCAGTCTCCTGCCTCACAGTCCAAGCAGGCACAAGCTCAGGTGGAACAGGTGACCTTATTCCCACTCCACTCCTTCAATACCCCTCCAGGAACGTGGGAGGGGAAAGCAGAGAAGGCAGATGAGAGTGTATGGTACTAGGCTAGAAGAGCAGTAGACCTCATGAGAGTACATTGTATCAGCTTTGCCAGTCTGATGATATCTAGCAAAGTGAATTCTCCTAATGCCATGTTATTCCTCTTTTAAGGCTTGTCTGCAATGGAAGACCCCTGTTTAAGGTTGGCAGACTTTAGTGAGAGTTAAAGCCAAAGAAAATCCCAGGAAAGATGCTCTGACAAAGACCCCAAAGGCAGTAATCCAGAACCTAGATGGATTCTGGTACTGTACTGTGGATTATTTTCCCTTCCCATTAAAACTCTGTAGGGGTTTATTTATATGGATCATTTCTGAGTTCCCTCAGCACCCTTATTTTCTTAAGTTATTGTTGTTGTTGTTGTTATTTTACAAAATAGATCATTTTCATATAACCTTTCCTTCTTCCTAAAGTCAATCATAAAAAATTGTTTACACATAACCCCTGAACTTGAATTTATAGTATCTGTCCTCCAGCTACTCTGGTATAGATTGACGGTCATGCTGCTTATGTCCAATACACCCCACAGAAACAACTAATGGACTTGGCAGATCTTTTAATGAAAGGAAAAGGGAGGACTGCATGCCAGTTTCATGTAGATCAATATAACAATGTAGGAAGCATTAATGGAAAAGGGACAGATTAGTATAATATTTGATAAGATTGAAACTGAGATTTATTTTACAGAAAATAAAAAAATCATACTGATAGATTTTAGAGTTCCACATTAATGGAGAGAGAAATATCAACAGTGATGGAAACCTCTCAGAGCAACTACATACAAAATGAGGCAAAAATTAAAGAATGTGTTGGAAAGTAGACACCTGCAAAACTTCTTCAGAAGAGTAAAAACTTTCCCTAATAAACACTTATAAGAAACACTCGGTATCAAGGGTAATGTAGAATTTCTCTCAGAAAGGTTAGTTTTCTGCTTTTTAAACAAGATACAAATTTTGACAAGCAGCCAATGAAGCAATAAAAGATAATAAAAAACATGGAATCTTTCTCTGATTTAAAAGTCATTACAGGATAATTTGAAGCAGATTGCATGGGATATGTTTCCTGTTTCTCTCCTCTGAAGAATCCTATTGTTTACCTCTAGAAGAAAGTGTACAGTAACTGGGAGGGTTTCTCAACAGAAGATGTGATAATTATAAAAAAAATAATTGCTGGCACAAGACTTTGTTTCTGAAAGACACACAAATAAGACAATAGTGACTTATTCTCAAAACAAATCAACCAGAAGTCATGTCTAAAATGATGCTTTCCTCCTTATTTAGCCAGCATCAGAACAAACAAGATTTTCTTGTGAAGCCAAAACTTAATGACTTCAGAATGGTTCCTTATTGGCTGAATCCAGAGTTAGCCAGGGACATGCAAAAGGATGGCTTTATCTGTAGCTAACACACATGATTATGTTAGTCAAATCTACCTGATGTCTAACTGTACCCACCATAGCAATTACCAATGTGGTTTCTCCTCTCTCTGGCTGCCTTTACCCATGTGGTATGTGCATCCCATAGCAATGAAGACTGAGATGCCAAGAGTTCTGTTTCAGTCAGCCAGGAAGTTCTCTTCTGTAGTAGCTGAATAAAAAGAATCTCTGATAAGTTATTTTATCCGAATCACCAATGCAAAGTGTTTAAGCTTAGGAGCTGTACAACATGCAAGCCAGAACTGTCTCCAGCCTTGGACCAGGGGAGTCTCTGAGAAGCTGCTGAGGCAGTATATAGAACAGGGTACAATAGAAGATAATAAGTAATCTGTATAAAAATTATATGTCTTGTAACAGAATTTCATTTTCCAAAAATAGCAAATCACGACACAAATAGGATTTTATTACAGCAATTATTTAAGGTAGGTGTTTGCTAATAGCCCTTTCAGGTCCTCATACTGGGCATAAACACAGAGAAAAAGACTGTCATAATGTGATTCTATATAGGTATATTTGTTGAAAAGAACATAGTTTCCTTTAAAACATGGAATGCGGTCCAGTCTCAATCACAAGGGAGAGGCTACAGGCTGTATCACCTGGCAAAAGATGACACCAGAGTCCTCAGGCAAATCCCTCTTGCAATGTACTTGGCTCCATACCAAAAATAATACCAAGTGTTTGTTCAGGAATAGTACATTAATATGATAAACAATAAGCATGTCAGAATGGAAATGTCTTGGAAAAATTGATGCTAGAAACTTCATCCAGGGATTGAGGAAAAGCCAGGGAAGGAGGACAGAGTGGGATTGAGAGGACACCCACTAAACAGGGTGCACAAGCAGTCACAGAGAGGAGCGGAGACTCCCAGCACCCATGGTGAAGACAGCCTGGGCGTAGACCAGCTACCTTGCGAACTGAGGAGCTCAGGCAGGGAGAGTTCCCACAGTAAATCCTGTCCATGGAAAAAAAAAAAAAAAAAAAAAAAAACAAAAAAACAAAAAAAAAAAGAAGGGTAGGAGCTGTTGTTGCAGAAGACTCATGGCACTGAACTGCAGCAGATTCTGTCACTTCTAAACAAACCTGTGAGGAGGACAAAGCAGCTTTGTTCTACCACACTGTACTAGCATCACTTCATGTGGCATCCTATCTTTGTCATCTGTGCAGGATAAGTGTTTCTGCTTTTTTTCATTCTTCTGCCTAAACTGCATGTAGAATATATTCCTGACCACCCACAGTTTGTATAAATTGTAATTCTGTTCCTTTAAAAAGGCTGTGACTCTGCAGAATATTGAAACTGTGACAGATGCATTATGTTCAGAGGAAAGTGAAGTTGAAATAGTTACATGATTCAACCAAGCTTACACAGAAAAGGAGAAAAAGACAGAGAAAAAAAAAATATGAAATGTATAGTTGTTTTTACTAATGGCACAGCTGTGGACCTCACAATGACCAGTCATTTCCCTCCTTCTTGTGCCAGCAGATGACAGCGGAAAGGGGAGAGACTTCCAGCAAACACAGCCCAAGAACTAACATCAGGTGGGAGGAGGACAAAATAGAACAGAATAACCACAATAAGTGCATTAAGAAACCATGATAGCATAGCTGCTGACTTCTGCTGCCCACCTGAAAACTTTCCAAACACTGCTGCTCTTGAAAAGTAAACACTGGTGCACCCTGCATATCCAAATTCACAAAGGGAAAATACCAACATCATGCCCCCCGCCTCCTCAAACCATATGATGTTGCAAGCATAGGACTGGTTGGAGTGACTGAGTCTATATGGCATTAAAAAATTACCACACAGATAAAGGCTAGTAAAATCTTCCCTACCAATCCCAAAAGGGGGGCTGTAGGGGAGGTGGCTATTAAAATTAACTTTGTGATCAAAGTACACAGGAGAACTGTTTGGAAGGAAATTTAATTTTGTAAGTTGCTGTTTTATAGCAATAATCAAAATGACAACACTGCTGAGAGTTACTAATTTCCTGCAGACTACCTAATTTGTGATTGTGGTAGCAATATGTTTCTAGAACTGCAGTGAAGTTTTTTTTCCCCTTAATTTTGGGTTTTTTTTTCCCCTTAATTTTGTCAAAGCAGAGAAGTAGGGACTTCCAGAACCCCCTTTTCTATTTCTAAACATGCATCTTCACTCAGCAACAAAAACTAGACCCCTATGCAATTACATTTCCATGACTCAAGCGGGGTGTTTGTGTTTTATCCTGTTGATTAATAGCATTCACATTTAAATGGTCACAACTAGCCTTTGAAGTCATTAACACCCCATTAAGATGAATGGGGTAACTTCACACCTTTTGTTTCAATCTCCTGACTGTGGAACCAACAAAACCGCAGCATATTGATTTACTGAGCAAAGACTACCTTCACAGTCATTGAAGGAAAAAATGAGGAGGTTTAAATACAGGACAATGCCTCAATATTTGCTGAATAACTCTGGATAATCTGCTATCCTGAAAATTCAACACCTGGAGAGTCATTGCCACCTTAGTGATAGGGTAATTAAGTTTAAACCACTAACAAGTCTAGCACAGATTGCACCAGGATGCAAATAATTTTTAGTATGAAGTTTCCATTTAACAACTTCTTAGAGAAAATGAGTAAGTATTTGCAGAATCTAACTTCTCTGTAGAGAAAACGTCTCCTCAGATTTAAATATCTGCTGACTTTGGTATTTCTTCTTACACATAAAACAATAATGTAATCCCTATTGTATCTTTCTATTCAGAATGCAGCCATGATACATGAAACTGTAGTTAGAATTAAGTATGTGTGGGGGGGAGTGTTCTTCACAATGAGTAACTGTAAATAAAACCATATTATGTCTACAGTAATGTGCTTTGTCCTAGCTCAGCTACTTTAGTCTTGGTCAGTAGAAATGTAATTTACAAGACCTTTTTGAGAAATCTTTCTACACTAGGCTAATTTTTTTTTTCTGCAGTAACAAAGAAGCTAAACTATATAATAGACAAAAAGTCAATACCTTTTGACCTGGTAAGCTGTGGAAGCTCTCCCATGATCACTTTTAAACCAGAGTGCTCTAAAAAGATAACAAATAAGGAACAAAACAGGAAAAAGAACACTATTCAAATTCTGGCTTTGAGCCATCTTTGACTCATAAATTGCCTCATAAGAAACGGTTCTCCATCATTACTATACAATCAGAAAAATAATTGTCATTAATTTCTACAATACTCTATATTCTTTATGTTAGAATGTAGGTGGCAGGTATCCTCCATCCCTGTTGAGAAGCTACCAGTGAGTTTATAAGACATTATGATATCAATAATTTTTCAGTGCACTACTCCGGGTTTGAATCAGGTAGTGATCTGGGGCTCTTGATGTAGGAAAGAACTGTTCAGACTGAGTCATGGCAACCGATTTATAAAGCATTTAATTAACCTGCTTAACATTACCGAGGGACAGCTTGGCATTGTTATTGATATTCTAGAGACACACAGAGAGCAGCAGAGAGGCAACGACTTGAAAAGAGCTCCAGCAAATCAGTGGCTAAACTGTAAGCAGAACTTGGATACTCCTGTCTCCCTACTGCCAAGACTAAACTGCCTGATGTACAGAACTCTAGACTGTTTTACTTTTATAGTGTTGTTCCTTCCTCCAGACCCCTTGTGTTGAGGTTTTCTCTCTGCCACAGTAGAGGCAAAAAAAAATTAGTGTTATCATTGAGCATTACAAATGCAATGGACAATCTGGTTGCAATGAATCTTATTTTTGCTTTCAATAAGAAGAACTTGGCCTGTTATATAGTACCAAAAGCAAAAAGGCAGATCTGATTTCCTCAGCAGTGATCAAACAAACTAGTTTAGGTGAGATATCTGACCATCAAACTGTTAGTTAATCCACTTGGGAGCTGGAAATTGGATTATTCCCTACTAAATCAAGGGGTTCCTCCTACTGTCCTTTAAATACCTTCATAGTGTTTTGTTCCAGATCAGTAAATTAACTTGTTACTGACTGTTGCTTTAAAAAGATCATCATGAAAAACATTCTGGTAATTTTCCGAAAATGTTAGTCAGAGAAAGCAATCTGGTTAAATTTAGTTCATTTTAAGTTTGTTGCTCCGGGGCTCAGTGTGTTCTGGATGCATTTAACGTTGTGTGACTCAGATAGTTTTTATGATTTAAGTTTGGGATTTTTTTTTCATTGTTGTCAGTCACACAGCCATCACACTAGAAGTGTATTTCAGGAGAACAAAGATTTAAACATTATTACTTACCCTTCTCACTAGGTTTAAATAGGGACAATATGCAACTAAAAGTTTCTATTTCCTGTCTGGTTTTAAAGTCTTTTTCCTCCATGAACCATGAAGAGAAACAATATTTCACAACGAGTCTGTATAAAACACAAAAAAAAGCTATAAGCTATGTGAAATACGGCTACGTTTGGGCTAGTATTTTGTCATTATTTGGATAGAGAAATCTGGAGCATTTTGTCTTGATTATAAAACCCTAAGGAATGCCCTGGGTGTTTCACCACATGCTAGGAGAGATGATGGGAAAAAACTGGCAGAAGTTATCTTTTCCCACCCAGTTTAACTGATTCAGACAGGGCAATTTTGTTGGAAGAGTCTGCTGGCAATCAATATGTCTCAGCTTGCTCCTATATTCCTTGCTGAGAGAGAGAGCTGTTGGAAGAGAATCAAGACATGAAACTTTTTCTACTCTAGTTTAAAGCTTATGAAAGCAAATGATCTCCAGGGCACTAATCTTCTCACCTTGGTAAACATGCAACAAATCTAAATTAAAGAAAAACAGAAGGACTCCTCCTTCCTCCTCCTCCTCTTTCTGCAGCAGCACCGAGTCTTACAGGCTGCACAGTGGTATCTACCTTCCAAGTCCACTGCAGTCATCCTGTAAAACTCAAATCTGTTAAAAAAAAATACAAAAACAAAAAGTAAATAAATTGAAGAGAACAAAGAGAAAGGGAAAATATATTCCCTGCCCATTTCCCAACATACATTTTCAAACAAAAAAAATAGTGCTTTGCCCTATATGAACAAGCACAAGTTTGACAAAGGTAAATCAGTTCTGGCAGCCTCTATGTTACTGCTAATGACAGGCATCCATTCTCCTATCCTCATGTCTTTCTTGGCACCAAGTC